GTGATAATTTGATAATTTCTTTACAATGAGATTTATTTGAATTACAAAAAAAGAAAGTTAAGGGTTTGAAATTAAGGGGCTTCACTCGAGCAGAACTGCAAATTACATAAATAATTCAGTTACCTCCCTTAGACCGTTTTTTTTTTATTCTTCTAGTACAACCTTTAAATTTGATTTTAATTAATTAATTTTTTTGTCTAAAGCAGGGGATCTGATGCTACAAAGTGCAATTATATCTGGAACTTTCTACAAAATCTCCCATGAGTAACGCAACGTGTGATTGTATTAGTTTAATCCATTTGTTTCTTTTAGGGGAATTAACTCTAGCTCAGTGATAATATAATAAAAATTATACTTGTTATGTCCCTTTGACCATAAAACATGCGTTATATTTTTTCTAATAACCTCTAGTAAATTCAGGTTAAACACTAATTTGGAACAAAAGACGGTTTCTTTTTTCATATAATAAAATATTAACTACAAAAATACATTTTGGCTATTTTTTTCTCAAATACAAAATTAAAATTGAAAAGTTCATTTTTTTTTTAATTCTTGCAAACTACACTCAAAAACATCATAGTATAATTTTTTTCTAAGTTGGAAATAAATTTTTATCGAGATAGGGCTCTATTTATTTTTTTTTAAATAAGGGTTAGTCTATTAATTATCGTACATATTTTGGCTGTTATTGGCCGTAATTAACCCACCATACGTTCACACAAATCCCAGGCCACAACAGAATGAGATAACCCGGCTCGACATGCCCTTGTTGTCTATAATATATGATAGAATATTCTAGAACAGGGGTCTCCAACTACGGCCCGCGGGCCGTATGCGGCCCGCAAAGTCCTCTCATCCGGCCCGCAGAGATCTTTTTGTCCAGGGAAAAAAATGTCTGTTAGAGGTGGCTGAGGAACTTTGCCCAGAAAATTCGAAAATGTAGCTATGGGCTATGGGTGCAAATACCTTTGCACACCGTGTTGCAGACATTGGTGACTCAAATAGTGAAAAATGCAAGCACGTTTCACTATTTTTTGTGTTGCAATGGATGAGTTGCTAGGGGTGTTGATGTAGACATGAACATAACACAAGAGCTGGCTTTCCTACATAACATGTATGTCACTGTTACCGGAAAGGATATATTCAATGAGTTAAAGAAAACATTTGCTGATTATAACTTGGACAGGACCAACCTCAGTTACCTGACTGTTGATGGGGAAAAGTACATTAGTGGCATAAAGAAAGGCTTGGTTGGACAAGCGAATGAGAAAAATATTCTACAACCAATGCTCCAGCACTCTATTATTCATCAGCAAGCTTCAAATGCTAAATATATGGACATTAGCAGTGTACTGAATCCTGTGGTGAAGATGGCGAATTTAATAAGGTCACATGGGCTCAACCATAGATATAGAATACGTAAAGAACAATTTGAGAGCAAACTTGGACCTCGAGCATGTTGTCGGCCCCCGACAGTGTTTCTTTCAGATTTTTTTTCTCGGGGGGGGGGGGGGGTGCGGCACTTGAAATGTGTATATATTTCTATATAAATTATATTTTGTTGTAGGGGGGGGGGGGGGCGGTGGAGATTTTTTTTTTGGGGGGGGGGGGGGGCGGCTCCATAACACCTAAGATATGCCTTGAAGAAACTCAGGCCCCCGAACTGATATTTGATAGTCAATGCGGCCCTCGGTCTGAAAAGTTTGGAGACCCCTGTTCTAGAATATCGAACAAGATTGACCTGACGGTCACCCACATAATTGACGTCATGTTTTATGACCAAAAGTCCTACTCGTCCCCCCCCCCCCCCCCCCATTATCATCACACACCGTTGCAAACCTCAGGTTAATCTTTAAATCTTGCCCTGACACTAACCCTAAACTTAACCCAAACCTTAAACATCACGTTAACCCCGAACATGACCCAAACCTCAGCATGAACCTAAACCCGAACATAACTCAAACCTCAATGTGGGTTTTTATGTGTGTGTGTTTTGTGTATGTGTGTGCGTGTGCGTGTTTGAAACTGAGGGCATATCTAACTTGCTGTTGTTTTCTGTGGGGGAGGCGGGGAGTATACAAGAGAGATTGTGATATAAAGAGTAAGAGAGAGTGAGAGAGAAAGAAAGATGTTTAAAGGTTTTATAAAGGTTTTATATACGTTTATTTGCTCCTCTCTTGTTTGCCATATAACTTATTTTTTAGCGGAAGTGACGTCAGGAAATGGGCAGACAGTGGAGCATAATCAAACGGCTGAACCAACTGATTTAGCGGAAGTGAAGTCAGTGTATGAGGATGACGTCCTAAATGAAGCGACTCAACTGGAAGGGTCACTGTCTGAATCGTGAATGGTTGAGGCACATCCTTGTCTTGCCAATAACATGCTGATTTCCTTGTTTAAAGACTTCACATTTTGTAGCACTTTTGTAAAGTTCTAGACTCTTTTTTTTTGTAATTTACAGACTAAACGTACACTCGCCCCATTCATTCATTTTTTAAACCAGAAATGGCAAACACAGAAACCATAAAAACTATAGTAAACATCTTAAAAAAAATATATTTCTCATATATTTGTTAAACCGTGATAATGGAAATAAAAATGAGTACATGACTGTGTGTGAATACGTGAGCTTGTGTGAGTGATGATGTGTGATTGCGCGTGTATGTCGCTGTGTGATTGTTATGTAAGACAATGCCGTAACTAAATAAACGAACCACGTTAAGACCCACCAGTCTTTGCCTTTGTATTTGAAACAGATGTTGTTTTTTTCCTTCATCCACACACACACACACACACACACACACACACACACACACACACACACACACACACACACACACACACACACACACACACACACACACACACACACTAGAGATTCCTTTACCCACAAATAAACACTCCTTTAAACACTTCATACCTAAACAGTAAAATTGAGAACTCCTAGCCTTCATTAGTCTAGTAATGTGAAGTCTAAATTGAGCTACTTCCACCATGTCTATAATTACTTTACTCAATAGACTTCACATGAAATCAGTCAACTGAGTCAGTTTGGTGACAATCTTTACTTTTAAAGTTTGGGTCACCAAAAAATTATTTGATTCTCAGGTCGACATTTTAAAAGTTTCTAGTCACACAGAGTAGGCTGCGAGATGTATAGGGACTTATGCGGTGCTATGATGTGGTGCTGTGTGGTGCTATGATGTTCAGATGTGGTGCTATGTTGTTCAGATGTGGTGCTATTATGTTCAGATGTGGTGTTATGATGCTCAGATGTAGTGCTATGATGTTCAGATGTGGTGCTATGTTGTTCAGATGTGGTGCTATGTTGTTCAGATGTAGTGCTATGTTGTTCAGATGTGGTGTTATGATGCTCAGATGTGGTGCTATGTTGTTCAGATGTAGTGCTATGATGTTCAGATGTGGTGCTATGATGTTCAGATGTGGTGCTATGTTGTTCAGATGTGGTGCTATGATGTTCAGATGTAGTGCTACGATGTTCAGATGTGGTGCTATGATGTTCAGATGTGGTGCTATGTTGTTCAGATGTGGTGCTATGATGTTCAGATGTAGTGCTATGTTGTTCAGATGTGGTGCTATGATGTTCAGATGTGGTGCTATGTTGTTCAGATGTGGTGCTATGTTGTTCAGATGTGGTGTTATGATGCTCAGATGTGGTGCTATGATGTTCAGATGTGGTGTTATGATGTTCAGATGTGGTGCTATGTTGTTTAGATGTGGTGCTATGATGTTCAGATGTGGTGTTATGATGCTCAGATGTGGTGCTATGATGTTCAGATGTAGTGCTATGATGTTCAGATGTGGTGCTATGTTGTTCAGATGTGGTGTTATGATGTTCAGATGTGGTGCTATGATGTTCAGATGTGGTGCTATGTTGTTCAGATGTGGTGCTATGTGGTGCTATGATGTTCAGATGTAGTGCTATGATGTTCAGATGTAGTGCTATGTTGTTCAGATGTGGTGCTATGTTGTTCAGATGTGATGTTATGATGCTCAGATGTGGTGCTATGATGTTCAGATGTGGTGTTATGATGTTCAGATGTGGTGCTATGTTGTTCAGATGTGGTGCTATGATGTTCAGATGTGGTGTTATGATGCTCAGATGTGGTGCTATGATGTTCAGATGTAGTGCTATGATGTTCAGATGTGGTGCTATGATGTTCAGATGTGGTGCTATGATGTTCAGATGTGGTGCTATGATGTTCAGATGTGGTGCTATGTTGTTCAGATGTGGTGCTATGTGGTGCTATGATGTTCAGATGTAGTGCTATGATGTTCAGATGTGGTGCTATGTTGTTCAGATGTGGTGCTATGTGGTGCTATGATGTTCAGATGTAGTGCTATGATGTTCAGATGTGGTGTTATGATGTTCAGATGTGGTGTTATGTTGTTCAGATGTGGTGCTATGTGGTGCTATGTTGTTCAGATGTGATGCTATGTTGTTCAGATGTGGTGCTATGTTGTTCAGATGTGGTGCTATGTGGTGCTATGTTGTTCAGATGTGGTGCTATGTTGTTCAGATGTGGTGCTACGATGTTCAGATGTGGTGCTATGTTGTTCAGATGTGGTGCTATGTGGTGCTATGTTGTTCAGATGTGGTGCTATGTTGTTCAGATGTGGTGCTATGATGTTCAGATGTGGTGCTATGTTGTTCAGATGTGGTGCTATGTGGTGCTATGTTGTTCAGATGTGGTGCTATGATGTTCAGATGTGGTGTTATGATGTTCAGATGTGGTGCTATGTGGTGCTATGTTGTTCAGATGTGGTGCTATGATGTTCAGATGTGGTGTTATGATGTTCAGATGTGGTGCTATGTGGTGCTATGATGTTCAGATGTGGTGCTGTGTGGTGCTATACTTAGCCTAGCCGTCACTACATTGCCACAATGTGTGCTAGTACTGTTGTGCTCGAACAATTCTCAGTTCATCGTAGTGGAAGGAATTCACAAAAACTCAAAAATGACAGACATAAACACGATCTCAGTGTATATAAAAAGTTGTTTAATTTATTGGATTAAAGATTAAATATTAGCTTAAAAAAGAGACAAAGTTGCAGAAAAATCTGTCCACTGGTCAACGGCTTATGGTGTGTACATGGTCGCACGGGGCATCACTGGTGAGAGAAAAAATAAAAATCTTACTTCTAGTGAAACGAAATTTGACTTTCTAGGTAGGTCATCTTAAGTGTGATTTTTTTTTTCAAGCTAATTTACCATCATGCTTCTGGCTAAAATATTGTATGGTAATGTTTCCAGGTTATCAATTGGGTTAACCGTACAAACATTCTACAACAGCGTAACCGGGATAAGATGGGTTTTTGTCAATGTTGACAAAGGGCCGACAACTCCAAGAACTGTGCGGCTCATTCAGTGAGCCAATGCTTTCAATGTCGTGGTTACCTGCCTTTGGCTATTTATGCTGATAGTTCTAGAATCTCCTTAATCAGGCTCAAACTACTGTAGGTCTAAGTAAGGTTGCCTGATATTTTAATTTAAAGATATATATACATATATATATATATATATATATATATATATATATATATATATATATATATATATATATATATATATGTAATATTAAGGATATATATATATATATATATATATATATATATATATATATATATGTGTAATATTAAGGATATATATATATATATATATATATATATATATATATATATATATATATATATAATTTATATATATCATTATATATATCATTATATATATATATATATATATATATATATATATATATATATATATATATATATATATATATATAATTTATATATATAATTTATATATATCATTATATATATATATATATATATATATATATATATATATATATATATATATATATATATAATTTATATATATCATTATATATATATATATATATATATATATATATATATATATATATATATATATAATTTATATATATCATTTTATATATATATATATATATATATATATATATATATATATATATATATATATATATATATACATATATATATATATATATATATATATATATATATATATATATATATATATATATATATATATATATATATATATATATATATATATATCCTTAAAGCGATGATGCTTACGGTATAAGTGTTGGCAGGTACAAATCTTGTAATCGAAATAAGTTTTGGCAGGACATGACATCTCATAGCCGCCCAGGACAAACTTGTAGATACTGTTGGAACTTGGGTACATGTCAGCACCGCAGGCTAGGACAAGATGGAGGACATTTAGTCGGCTAGGACAAGATGGAGGACATTTAGTCGGCTAGGACAAGATGGAGGACATTTAGTCGGCTAGGACAAGATGGAGGACATTTAGTCAAGGTATAACGTTTTATACAGTCATTTGACGGTTAACACACACAAGCAGGGTATAGTTGCATCATAGATATAGGAATAGCAAGAATAGACACAACTTTGACATAAGCGGACGATTCCTGAACATTGGCAAAACACAGACGTTAGTGAATTATATATAGGCCTATAAAGCTAGTTACATTATAGGTTTATACTGCCATCTAGTTGACATATACTGCTATCTAGTTGACATATACTGCTATCTAGTTGACATATACTGCCATCTAGTTGACATATACTATCACCTATTTAAATAGTTAGGTTGCATTGTGAAAGATGAACCCAGGTAGATTAACCCCCCCCCCCCCTTTACCTGTGGTGCAGGTTTTGTCAGGCACACATTTTCCCGCCACGAAACGGTAGTTGTCGTTACATTGCCGGTAGAGGGCCTCGCCATCCACACACTCAAAGTAGGCGTAACACACACCGGTGACAGCGTAGGTCTTGCCGTTGTCGGTCTTAGAGCAGGTGTCTGGGGGCAAATGTATACGGGTATCATGGGAGTATCATGTGAGTATCACGGGAGTATCATGAGAGTATCATGGTAGTATCATGAGAGTATCATGTGAGTATCATTTGGTAAACATTTTAATTGATTCATGAAAAATTAATGAGGCAACCAATTACGTCAAGTTTAATGTCATGTTGCATTGTTTTCATGTCTTGACCCACGTACCAAATATGGACCGAATCTATCAGTTAGAAGTGCCCGAAATTTCGCTCGGGCGTATCGATCTAAACTGACGGCAGAGACTGAGTTAAATAAAAACTTGTAAAATGGTATGTATATGATGACGTGAACAGTAAGATGTTGTATACGTGTGATATGTACACTAAGATAATGTGTACAAGACGGTGAGTACACGGTGATGTGTACATGAGAGGCGACAACAAAGAAGATACTTACATGCTCCGGCGCTGTAGGCCCCTTGGGTTTTGTAGTCATAGGTTGGGTTTTGGTTGATACTTGAGGGTTGGTTATTAGAATAGGTTGGGTAGGTTGGGTAGGTTGGGTTTTGGTTGATACTTGAGGGTTGGTTATTAGAATAGGTTGGGTAGGTTGGGTAGGTTGGGTTTTGGTTGATACTTGAGGGTTGGTTATTAGAATAGGTTGGGTAGGTTGGGTTTTGGTTGATACTTGAGGGTTGGTTATTAGAATAGGTTGGGTAGGTTGGGTAGGTTGGGTTTTGGTTGATACTTGAGGGTTGATTATTAGAATAGGTTGGGTAGGCTGGCTGAAGTGGATAGGTTGGCTGACTGGGGGAGCTAGGTTGACTTGGGTAGGTTGGGGAGCTAGGTTGACTGGGGTAGGTTGGGTAGGTTGGCTGACTTGGGTAGGTTGGCTGACTTGGGTAGGTTGGGTAGGTTGGTTGACTGGGGGAGCTAGGTTGACTTGGGTAGGTTGGGGAGCTAGGTTGACTGGGGTAGGTTGGGTAGGTTGGCTGACTTGGGTAGGTTGGGTAGGTTGGTTGACTGGGGGAGCTAGGTTGACTGGGGTAGGTTGGGTAGGTTGGCTGACTTGGGTAGGTTGGCTGACTTGGGTAGGTTGGGTAGGTTGGTTGACTGGGGTAGGTTGGGTAGGTTGGTTGGCTGGGGGAGCTAGGTTGACTGGGGTAGGTTGGGTAGGTTGGGTAGGTTGGTTGACTGGCGTAGGTTGGGTAGGTTGGTTGACTGGGGTAGGTTGGAGAGCTAGGTTGACTGGGGTAGGTTGGGTAGTTTGGTTGACTGGGAAAGGTTGGGTAGTTTGGTCGACTGGGATAGGTTGGGTAGGTTGGTTGACTGGGGGAGCTAGGTTGACTGGGGTACGTTGGGTAGGTTGGTTGATTGGGGTAGGTTGGAGAGCTAGGTTGACTGGGGTAGGTTGGGTAGGTTGGTTGACTGGGGTAGGTTGGGTTGGTTGGTTGACTGGTGTAGGTTGGGGAGCTAGGTTGACTGGGGTAAGTTGGGTAGGTTGGTTGATTGGGGTAGGTTGGGGGACTAGGTTGGCTGGGGTAGGTTTGTTGACTTGGGTAGGTTGGCTGACTAGGGTAGGTTGGGGAACTTGGTTGAATGGGATAAGTTGGGTAGGTTGGTTGACTGGGGTAGGTTGGTTGACTGGGGGAGCTAGGTTGACTGGGGTAGGTTGGGTAGGTCGGTTGACTTGGGGAAACCTGATATGTTGGTTGACTGGGGTAGGTTGGTTGACTGGGGTAGGTTGGTTGACTGGGGTAGGTTGGTTGACTGGGGTAGGTTGGTTGACTGGGGTAGGTTGGTTGACTGGGGTAGGTTGGTTGACTGGGGTAGGTTGGCTGACTTGGCTGGCTGTTGTACGATGAAGATGGGTTGGGATCGAAGTAGATGCCATTAAGGTACTGCTGGTTGTTGGCACTTGAGGACGGACTAGAGTACTGCGCATGCGTGAGACAGCAGACAGCCAAAGCTACGACGATGCTTGAAAAAGCCATTTTTATCTTGCTGGCGTCCTAGCAAATAGCGAAAAAAAATTAATAAGCAAGAACATTTTGTATTTTGTTTACTTCTTGCATAAGTAACAGGATCGCGAGTTCATCAAAGTACTCTACCGAACCTGAAGGGATAATGTGTTACGTTGCCTTTACTTTCCCTAACTTGAGCCAGATACCCATCGGAGCTGGGCGAACTCAGGAACTGACACTAACATGATTCGAACTCGAGACTTTCCGTCTAGCAGTCGCACGTCTAGCAGTCGCATGTTTTACCATCCGACTACGCTGTTCCACATTATCATAGAATGTTATATGTTCATTTAGACATGTTTTTTGCCGAGTGTTTAAGGTAAGATCATTTTGTCCAATATCACCTGTGGTATAGCTAATCCACAAATGTCACCTTTGGTCTAGCTAATCCACAAATGTCACTAGTGGTCTAGCTAATCCACGAATGTCACCAGTGGTCTAGCTAATCCACAAATGTCACCAATTGTCCCACAAATGTCACCAGTGGTCTAGCTAACCCACAAATGTCAACTGTGGTCTAGCTAATCCACAAATGTCACCAGTGGTCTAGCTAATCCACAAATGTCACCAGTGGTCTAGCTAATCCACAAATGTCACCAGTGGTCTAGCTAATCCACGAATGTCACCAGTGGTCTAGCTAATCCACAAATGTCACCAGTGATCCCACAAATGTCACCAGTGGTCTAGCTAATCCACGAATGTCACCAGTGGTCTAGCTAATCCACAAATGTCACCAGTGGTCTAGCTAACCCACAAATGTCACCAGTGGTCTAGCTAATCCACAAATGTCACCAGTGGTCTAGCTAATCCACAAATGTCACCAGTGGTCTAGCTAATCCACAAATGTCACCAGTGGTCTAGCTAATCCATAAATGTCACCAGTGGTCTAGCTAATCCACAAATGTCACCAGTGGTCTAGCTAATCCACAAATGTCACCAGTGGTCTAGCTAATCCACAAATGTCACCAGTGGTCTAGCTAATCCACAAATGTCACCAGTGGTCCCGATATTGTGCTCAGATGTCACCACTAGATGTCTAACTAGTTCTGTGTTAAAAGAAATCAGGTCACTTGTACAAGTTCTGGTAATAGAACAAATCCGCAAAATTTGAACTGGGAAATTAAGGTAACGAACTTTTGCACTAGGTCCAAAACGTAGCAAATAAAATAAGACATTACAAAATCAAGAACTATTGCTAGCGACTGAAAACTGTAAAAACAAAAATCGCCTAAGTCCAACTGACTATAAAGTGTAAAAAATTATAATATTTTTCATTAACAAATTATCTTGAGAAGATACAACTAAGTTCCTCCACCAACTAGTCACCGCTGTGTACCACACTTAAACCAAGTCTATCACATCTTGAGAAGATACAACTAAGTTCCTACACCAACTAGTCACCGCTGTGTACCACACTTAAACCAAGTCTATCACATCTTGAGAAGATACAACTAAGTTCCTCCACCAACTAGTCACCGCTGTGTACCACACTTAAACCAAGTCTATCACTACAGGCTGTACCAACCTTGTCTACAGATCTGCTGTACTAAGACTTTGACTTGCCAGGCTGAACTTCGTCTTTTTATACTTTTCTTCTTCCCTAATCTATGACCAATGTAGACACAGATGCCGTTTATTTATTTTTATTTTCAATCACACAATCAATCACACAATCAATCACACAATCAATCGAACAATCAATCGAACAACCAATCAGTGCACGATGCAGCCTAAACGATAACAATCAGCTCATGAATAAAACGCCTGTTGTCTACCCCCCCCCCCCCCACACCCACACACACACCCACACGATAAGACAGCACAATCCCATAATATCCCACATGTCCTGAAACTATCCCGTACATCTAGATTACAAATCCAGCTTCTTCCCAATTTCTTAGAATAGCTTTTAAATACCTGACATACATACCTTACTATAGTTACATACATTGGTGTAGAACTTGCACCAGTTTTCACCAACATTCTTGGCTTCCCAATTCCCGTCCGACTGGTAACAACACTAGATCATTTCTGTGATTGTTTTAACAATGTTTATTTCTAAAACTAAATGTCTATATGCCCTTGAATTTACCCCAAATATTCTAGGTACTGATGAGACAAAATCATCAATTGACAAATACAACCCAACTATATCTTAAAAACATTAAAATAAGTTTAGGCCTAAGTAGTTTCAGATAAGGGATTATAAATTGACTGGAAACTTTCATGAATACGTTAAACTTAAATATTTTTAAAAATAACTTGTTGATTGTTGTTTTTTTTTTATTTTATTTATTATTGCTGTTGTTGCTGTGTTCATTTTAAGACCATTTTTTAATCACTCAATCATTTCTCAATGCATCTTTCTAGCCTCAACAATATTTTCAACTCACTTTCATCTAGGTAAACACCCCATAATAAAAAAATATAATAAAAACAACCCGCACTGATAGCAATCAACAAAACTTTTCTAGAAAAAAACACACCTTCATGCAAAAAAAAAAAACACCCATTGTATTTTGAAAAAAAAAACACCATTATCGCTGAGGAAAAAAACATAGATTTTTACCAAGGACCAATGAGCTTTTTGTCAACTTCTTTCCTAATCAGAAATCTATTACAAAAACACTTTTGATGTAATTAACTGATTAATTGACTTGAAAACATTAATTTTGTTCTACCAATCCTTAAATCGTATTGTAATGTATTTTATCGAACTCTATCAGCCGACGTGTATTTCTTTCGACAGGTGAGCATTTAAAATTAGCACAAAACGGTGGATGATTTTACATAGAACAAAATTTGCATAATTACAGGATGTAAAGACGCCATATGCTGCGGGCCACCCCCCCCCCCCTCCCGGGATCAGACAGATTAAATATTCAAGCATCACTCAGGGTCACGGAGTGAGATTTGGGCGATAAAGATTTAATTTTGTAAGGGAGGTAACTTATGAAATCAAATCATCAAGGATTACTTTGGCGTTCTTAATTCGTGATCTCGTGATATGGTTAATCTGGTTTCTTGTTTATCCAAAAACTGGTTTTATGAATCTGTTTCTTTTATTTTTATTTTAATAAAAACCTGTTTTTAAAAACGAAAATATGGTGAACATTTTATTTGTTGTATCTTTTTTATCTTCTTCGTTCTTAATTTTAGTGTTGGAAGGGATCCCCTCCAACACAATTAAGTATACTATCAACTTTTTGGATTTGCCAACGAAGAACAAACCATAAGGCAGCAGTTGTTTGATTTTGGAGTTGTCTCTCCTAGAAGAGTGGCTGTCCCAAGCTAACGAGTCTCATCTGTCCGAGGGTTCGAACTCGAGACTTTTTGTTATAGCAACCATGAGCTTAACCGATTCGACCACGCTTACCCCTGATTCGGACTCGAACCTGCTACTTGACATGCTTGGACATAACCCTCAATCATAGAGTTATTCAATGTATTGAAAGCTAGAGTTATTTATTTAAACTCCTCTAATGATGTGGTTCTTAATATTTTTGAAGGTACCGAACCCCACCAATTTTTCATGCACATTCACCGAACCCCTCTATCCTCACACAGACAAAACCCTATCGTAAGAGTCGTGTGTATGTCTTGACCTCCGCCGAAACCCTGAGACTGACACCGAACCCATGGGGTTCAATCGAACCCAGATTATGAAACAGTGCTCTAATGTTAAGTCGCTTTGTGTACCAGCCAAGACACAATTTAGTGGGGTTTTTATTCGAAACATTGACGCAGTTATGTTTATTTATAGACGACTGTGTTCAGTGTTTAGGACTTGCGGCATCTAAAACGAAACCGGATGTGTGGATTTATGTATTCTATGCCAGTGTCAAACTTTTTAAATGATCGCTTTTTTCTATTTAGATGTCGATTTCTACCTTTTAGCTAAATCCCGCATATTTTTCATTATGATTAATGTTAAATGTTGGTTGATTTTGGCTACAAAAATTATTCCTATATTATAATAAGTGGTGAAAAAATAGATTAAGAGGTGGCTCGACAACATCACGATTGAATGTGTCCAGATAAATTTATTGAAACTTTGTCAAACATGAATGATTCAAAACTGCTATTTATCTTGCCTTGGTGCTAAAATAGTTCTAGTATTCAATTTACTTAAAAAACAGAATTGGTTATAGTGTTAAAAGGAAATCGGGGATTTTAATTAGCTCTGGATAAACATCTAGCAATATTCTATTGCATGCGGTAACGGCTAGGTCCTGCACTGGTCATTTTAATAGATAGTTAAGATGTTTACTAGTTACATATTTTAAATGATTGTTGAAGAGTTATTGAATATGTTTTTTTTTTATTTTTGGGAAGAACTCGCTAAATATGAGTGCATTAATTGACTTTAAAATTCTAAAATGATTTATATAAACAGACAAATATTCAAGTCTGAACAAAAATCCCAGTAAAAAAAAAAAACTCGACATTCACCCCCCCCCCCCCCTCCAGGCATGTTGCTGAAATGTGTGCCCTGTATCGTCTCATCGTAACAAACACTGCCAAAATACCGTAAAAACAATTTCTACCTAACGGCCTGGGGCCAACATGGGTCTAACGGTTCGTGGCCGTGGGCCAACATAGGCCGTCAGGAGTTAATCCCTTGTGTAAATCAGATTAACTTACCTGGAATATTTGGTTCGCTTATCGGTCGTTTGATTTTAAGTGAAATCAGATTGTTTCGTAAACATAGAGCTAATTTATTTTATATTAAAAATAAATTACGATGACGTCAAAAATTTGCAATCTATCATGAATTACGTTTGTTTTCGTGGTATGGTAATAGATTACGCCCCTTGACAGACTGATCCTATGTTTAAAACATTGCTAATGTCAGACGTTCACAATCCGAGCAGTGGCGTCGCTAGGTTGGGTGTCACCCGGTGCGGCACCTCATGGTGTCCACCTTTCCCCCCCCCCCCCCACACACACACACACATACACACCAAATTTAAAAAAAATTATAGGCTTTATATATATTTATTAACAATTGGTGTCAACCCCCCCCCCCTCCTATTTTTCCAAGTCGCGTGATTTGTGAACACATTCTTTTAACTTAAGTGGAACAAAGCGACATTTCATGGTTTTCTCTATAGCTAGCAGGTTTTCGTCATTTTGGTGTCGCCCGGTGCGGTCCGCACCCCCGCCCCCCGCCTCGCAACGCCTCTGAATCCGAGCAAAACTAAAGCTCGTCATTGATCCAGCAGCTGTATAATTAGCCGTTAAAAATAAAAGTAGGTTATGTAAGACAGGCAACCTCACATAAACAGTTATTTTTGTATGTGTTTCTGTGTGTGTGTGGGGGGGGGGGGGGGTTGAAGAATCATATAGCTGAGTAATTCCTAATATTTAAAAAAAAGCTTGTAACTTGATAACATCAAAAACATCTTTATGTGATCTACCAATCAAACTATGAATTATGTTATGAAGCTGTTGTTAACGGGATTATTTTCCTTGATTCACGGCTCTCCTCGTGGTTGTTTGTTTGATAACATTAAACACTGACCTGTGACCTTTGAACCTGTCAGACACATTCTCACTTCTTTTTAAAAAACACTTTTTTTGCAAAAACACGTGTTTTATTACAAGTAAATTAATTATGTCTTTACTGTAATCAATCAAACATTAATTATATCGTATCTTATAGATTCCCATTTGTTACTAATTTAACTATATAAATATTAAATTTAATAAATTATCAATTTTATTTAATTAATAACCATATGAAGCTACACAGAACTCTTTTAATATTTTTTTTTATTTTGCATTTACAAAAGGTGCAAAACTGATAACTTTCCACAAATATCTGCCGTCTCGCTGTTAAAGTTGGTAGTCAGCCACCGTTTTCTTCTTACTTTTTCCTGGGGAAATGTTTTCAAACAGTCAGTTGTAATTAATGAGTAGTACAATTAATTAATGAAACATTTCTGATTGTAAATTCCTGTAGTGTAATCACACTGAGACACTGTGTTTTAAAATAAAAGACCTTGAACTTTATCGGTCTAACTCAACGCTTCTCAATCGCCTGTAAATTAATTTTATGTTTTCATTTAGGGTTTAGGACACACTATCTCTTCTGTGGTATTCTGACCCTCAACGTTTAACCCAGACTTAAGTCTCAACCCCCATTTAAATAATTAAATTGACCTGCAGTTAATTCTGTCCACTACATTTTCACCGCACTACATTTTCACCCCTGCACAACCGCCACCACTTTTACAACTTACCATTTTAACCTCAAACCTTTCCACAATCTCCCCCCCCCCCCCCCCCCCCGTACCGACAACTTACTTTCTGTAGTCACAAGCACACTTGGAGTGGACGTAGACCAGGCCGGCTGGACAGTACATCAAATTGTTGCCGGACATGAACTGACTCGGGTCACTGGCCGGAGAAAGGTCACACACTGGGGACAAGTGGTATAAGGGTGAGTGTAACAATTGGCTAGGCCACGTCTAGAAGCGGTAACTAGCTGAGCAACAATTCGCTAGGCCACGTCTAGAAGCGGTAACTAGCTGAGTAACAATTCGCTAGGCCACGTCTAGAAGCGGTAACTAGCTGAGCAACAATTGGCTAGGCCACGTCTAGAAGCGGTAACTAGCTGAGCAACAATTCGCTAGGCCACGTCTAGAAGCGGTAACTAGCTGAGCAACAATTGGCTAGGCCACGTCTAGAAGCGGTAACTAGCTGAGCAACAATTGGCTAGGCCACGTCTAGAAGCGGTAACTAGCTGAGCAACAATTGGCTAGGCCACGTATAGAAGCGGTAACTAGCTGAGCAACAATTGGCTAGGCCACGTCTAGAAGCGGTAACTAGCTGATTCATTTATATACAACCTTGTGTTGAAATTTAAAAGATAAGATGGGGATGTAGGTGTGGTGGGGTGGAGTGGAGTGGAGTGAAGATTTGGTGAGGGTGTAGATGTGGTGGGGTGGGGTGTAGGTGTAGGTGTGGTGGGGTGTAGATGTGGTGGGGTGGGGTGTAGATGTGGTGGGGTGGGGTGTAGATGTGGTGTGGTGGGGTGTAGATGTGGTGGGGTGGGGTGTAGATGTGTTGGGGTGTAGATTTTGTGGGGTGTAGGTGAAGTGGGGTGTAGATCTTGCGGGGTGTAAATTGTGTGGGGTGTAGATTGGGCGTGATGTAGATGGGGCGTGATGTAGATGGGGCGTGATGTAGATGGGGCGTGATGTAGATGGGGCGTGATGTAGATGGGGCGTGATATAGATGGGGCGTGATGTAGATGGGGCGTGATGTAGGTGGGGCGTGATGTAGGTGGGGCGTGATGTAGGTGGGGCGTGATGTAGGTGGGGCGTGATGTAGATGGCTTGAACTTGGGGTGAGACAAGAGTCAGGTACACGTCAGAACTGGGCGCCTGAGAACGAATTAGATTGATTTGATCAACAGGACGGCACTTTACAGAACACAAAGCCATTGTGTTTAACTAGTTTTTGGCTTGATTTGATAGTCATTATACATGAGCTCAGATACATAGGTGTGCTAGAGGTGTGTACTTGTGCGTATGTGTGTGCACATGTGTGTACGGGTGAGTGTACGTGTTTGTAAGTGTGTATGTGTGAAACCAAAGCTCTAGACCAGGGGTCTCCAAACTACGGCCCGCGGGCAGGATGCGGCCCGCGAGGTTCTCTCATCCGGCCCGCGGAGATCTTTTTGTCCACGGAAAAAAACGTATGTTGGTGATGGCTGAGGAACTTTGCCCAGAAAAATCAAAGACATGCCCGGAAGAAACTGGCCCCCGAACTGAAATTTGATAGTTAATGCGTCCCTCGGACTGAAAAGTTTGGAGACCCCTGCTCTAGACGACCAAATAATTTACCTTTACTAGAAGGGTAGCTTGACTCTGATGGATAACTGCTGGCGTCAGGGTATTGACTAGGGGTGTATGGGCTATACTGGGGAGTATAGGGGCTATACTGGGGGGTGTATGGGCTATTCTGGGGGGTGTAACTTTGAGATGGGTTGTACTCAGGGGTAGAGGGTGGGGTGTATTGGGAAGGGTAGCTTGGAGGGGTGTATGAGGGGGTTGGAGGTGGGTTGTATTGGGAAGGGTAACTTGGGGGTGTGTACTCAGGAGTAGAGGGTGGGGTGTATTGGGAAGGGTAACTTGGGGGTGTGTACTCAGGAGTAGAGGGTGGGGTGTATTGGGAAGGGTAACTTGGGGGTGTGTACTCAGGAGTAGAGGGTGGGGTGTATTGGGAAGGGTAGCTTGGGGGTGTGTATGAAGGGGTTGGAGTTGGGTTGTATGTTGGAGTATAGCTAGATGTAGGTGTGTATGAGGGGGTTGGAGCTGGGTTGTATTGGGAAGGGTAACTTGGGGGTGTGTATGAAGGGGTTGGAGTTGGGTTGTATGTTGGAGTATAGCTAGATGTAGGTGTGTATGAGGGGGTTGGAGCTGGGTTGTATTGGGAAGGGTAACTTGGGGGTGTGTACTCAGGAGTAGAGGGTGGGGTGTATTGGGAAGGGTAGCTTGGAGGGGTGTATGAGGGGGTTGGAGCTGGGTTGTATTGGGAAAGGTAGCTAGAGGGAGGTGTGTATGAGGGGGTTGGAGTGTAGCTTGGAGGATTGTATGAAGAGGTGGGGGTAGGGCTGGCCTTAGGGGTGTAGCTTGGTGGTGTATAAGTTGTAGGAGGAGATGGAGGGGTGTAACTTGGTGGTGTGTATGTTGTGGGAGGGGTGTAACTTGGTGGTGTGTATGTTGTGGGAGGAGACGGAGGGGTGTATTTCTGAGGTGGGGGTAGATACTTCCTTGTTTTGTATGTGGGGGCTGTGGGGGTTGTGGGGGGCTGGTACTGGTAGTAGTAGCCGCTGCCCCCATATTTTGGGTACGTGTCGTCCTCACTTGCTGCGGGGGTGGGGGCGGGGTACTGGGTGTAGGGGGTGGGGGCTGGTTTGTAATCAGTACTGTACGGCTTGTACTCGGGGGTGGGAGCGGGGTACTGGCTGGGGTATTGTTCTGGGTAAGTTTGGTAGGGCTGGTTTTGGTACGGGTAATTCTGCTGGTATGGGTCGGGGTTGTACGGGGTGGGGTAGTTGGGCTGGTTTTGCATATATGCCGCATCTTGGTACGGTGATTGCTGGTACGGTGAGGGTTGATACGGTGAGGGCTGGTACGGTGAAGGTTGGTACGGTGAAGGTTGGTACGGCATATCCTGGTACGGAACAGCTGGGTATGACGGTGGCTGGTACGGTGAAGGTTGATATGGCGGCTGCTGGTACGGTGCTGATGGGTACGTAGATGGTGGGTACGGCGACGGCTGGTACGTCGATGACGGGTACGGCGATGGCTGGTATTGGTACCCACTCATCAGGCTCTGGGTAAGTACGCTGGCGACCATGCATGCTAGTGACACCAAGCGGAATAGTTGCCCCGTCCCCATGGTTTAAATTTCTGCAGCTGCAATTATGTACAATTTTGTTATTATTATAATGATATATAGTTAGTCATTTTTACAAGCTTTTATTTAACTTGCTTTATCTGTCGTGCTTAGTGATTCGTCATTGATCGAAACGGACGAGGGAAATTTCGACCATCTTTAGCGGACCGATTCCTTTCAAACGAGTACTTTCATCAAGGTCAGATGGCAATGAAATGTGATAATACATTAGCTTTAATCAGCCGCTAATTAATCTTTTAATAATTAATTAGTTTTCTTTGAAGTATTAAATGTACGCGTTAAAAGACGCGTGTGTTCATTTAGTGTTCAATAGTTTTTATCATGGACATGTTTAAAGTATTGAAAAATGCATAAAAACATTTAAATAACACGCTTTTTGCATTAAAAAGTAGAAAATATTTTTTTTTCTGTATAATAATGCACCACTATTTAAATAAATAAAAAAAAGCGTGGGTAACTATAATTTATCTATTGAATAACTTTATTTAATAAAGTAATTCAATAGAAGCGACCCGCGCTTTTTAAAATATTTATTTAGATAGTAGATCTAGATCTAGTGTACATTTAAAGAAAATAATGTATTTTACTACTTTTTAGTGCATTCTCATATAAAAGCTTGTTATTACAACGTCCATGTAAAAATACCATATAGAGGCCTAATGATCACATTTTAAATAAATAAAAGCACGATGGATCCAACGATTGTGATCAAGAAACAGAACTGAAGATCGGTTGTTCAGTCTAAATTAGGCTAATCTAAGTCTATCTGTGTGGTTACATTCAAGTTAACGAGGGGAGGGGGGGGGGGGGTTGCCGAATACAGGCTGTAAATAAAAATTGAAATTGAGTTTTAGACCTGTATTTTCTTACGATTTGCCTTCAATGTGGTTTAGCTTAAAGTATCGATATCTGTGGCTAAGGTAAACACTTATCGTGTCAACAGTGGGGGTAAAAATAAAAATAAAACGCTGCAAAACTTGTAGTGTACAAAATAAGTATTCTGTCAAAGGACTAACTACAAGACTTATTTAAATAGTCAAAAAGAAAAGGGGGGAAAAAATTAAAGAAAGGTGGGGGGTGAGGTTCAGTTGATGAAACTACAGTCCCGACTACCAAAAGGGTGCGGATTTTTATTTATTTCACCACCACAGCTATATTGATTCGCTTTACATACAATGCTTCGAGTGTAATGATACTTAATGAACATGTCTAAAGGTATTGACTTTAAAATATTAACTCAACTCAATTGTTATATATATATATATATATATATATATATATATATATATATATATATATATATATATATATATATATATATATATAAGTAAATATGTATGTTTATTTACGTATATATTCAAAAGTTACCTTAGGTGTGGAGTTAGAAAATCCAAATAAAAGGCTGCTGCAAGGAGCGACGATTTAAAGATTTTATAAGTCCCGTTGTCAACATGGCGTCAGGTAGACATTAAAGAGAAACGTTAAGATTTGTGGCAAGTTATTTTAGGTGTTATCCGATGTTCCAATGCCCATTAAGGCAGCTAATGGCTGAGATAAGGGAGAGAAGCACGGCTGAAATCGTCCGTCTTGTGGCGGTTGTCTGCCCTGAAGGGGACATTTGACCATCTAGACAAGACGACATTCCTGCAACATCTTGATGACGAGATACTCACGGCGATGGACATCAAGACGACACGTGTTTGAACCGTAGTCGTGGATTAAGGTATGGATTAAGGTTTGGATTAACTTCGGTTTGAACAGGTTATTCAAATTTTTATATAATTTGTTTCGTTATCTGGTGTCGCCCTGTCATACCAATGTATGTTAAGGGCGCGAGATTTTTTATGTAACCCTTGGGATCTATGCCTTAAACTTTGGTAACAAATGGAACATATCACTGTACAATGATAGAAAAACACGAGTAACAAAGGACCCATGACTGTACGAAGATTAAATACAAAACTACATTGGTGACTAATGACAGTCGCTATACAGTAACATGCTATTGAGATACGTGTTTTGTACCTGCCGGGGACACCAAAAAAAACATTTTAAAGTTTTGATAAGTTCAAGTAACGAACCTCATTCACAATGGGTTTATTACACAATGGGTTGATTACATAATGGGTTGATTACACAATGGGTTAATTACACAATGGGTTGATTACACAATGGGTTGATTACACAATGGGTTGATTACACAATGGGTTGATTACACAATGGGTTGATTAATTACACAATGGGTTGATTACACAATGGGTTGATTACACAATGGGTTGGTTACACAATGGGTTGATTACACAATGGGTTGATTACACAATGGGTTGGTTACACAATGGGTTGATTACACAATGGGTTGATTAATTACATAATGGGTTGATTACACAATGGGTTGATTAATTACACAATGGGTTGATTACACAATGGGTTGATTAATTACACAATGGGTTGATTACACAATGGGTTGATTACACAATGGGTTGATTACACAATGGGTTGATTACACAATGGATTGATTAATTACACAATGGGTTTATTACACAATGGGTTGGTTACACAATTGGTTGATTACACAATGGGTTGATTACACAATGGGTTGATTAATTACACAATGGGTTGATTACACAATGGGTTGATTAATTACATAATGGGTTGATTACACAATGGGTTGATTAATTACACAATGGGTTGATTACACAATGGGTTGATTACACAATGGGTTGATTACACAATGGGTTGATTACACAATGGATTGATTAATTACACAATGGGTTTATTACACAATGGGTTGGTTACACAATTGGTTGATTACACAATGGGTTGATTACACAATGGGTTGATTAATTACACAATGGGTTGATTACACAATGGGTTGATTAATTACATAATGGGTTGATTACACAATGGATTGATTAATTACACAATGGGTTTATTACACAATGGGTTGATTACACAATGGGTTGATTACACAATGGGTTGATTAAATACACAATGGGTTGATTACACAATGGGTTTATTACACAACGGGTTGATTACACAATGGGTTGATTACATAATGGGTTGGTTACACAATAGGTTGGTTACACAATGGGTTGATTACACAATGGGTTGATTACACAATGGGTTGATTACACAATGGGTTGATTAATTACACAATGGGTTGATTACACAATGGGTTGATTACACAATGGGTTGATTAATTACACAATGGATTGATCACACAATGGGTTGATTACACAATGGGTTGATTACACAATGGGTTGACTACATAATGGGTTGGTTACACAATGGGTTGGTTACACAATGGGTTAATTACACAATGGGTTGATTACACAATGGGTTGATTACACAATGGGTTGATTACATAATGGGTTGATTACACAATGGGTTGACTACATAATGGGTTGGTTACACAATGGGTTGGTTACACAATGGGTTAATTACACAATGGGTTGATTACACAATGGGTTGATTACACAATGGGTTGATTACATAATTAGTTGATTACACAATGGGTTGATTAATTACACAATGGGTTGATTACACAATGGGTTGATTACACAATGGGTTGATTACATAATGGGTTGTACATAATGGGTTGATTACACAATGGGTTGATTACACAATGGGTTGATTACACAATGGGTTGATTACACAATGGGTTGATTACACAATGGGTTGATTAATTACACAATGGGTTGGTTACACAATGGGTTGGTTACATAATGGGTTGATTACACAATGGGTTGATTACACAATGGGTTGATTACATAATGGGTTGATTACACAATGGATTGATTACACAATGGGTTGATTACACAATGGGTTGATTACACAATGGGTTGATTACACAATGGGTTGATTACACAATGGGTTGATTACATAATGGGTTGATTACACAATGGGTTGATTAATTACACAATGGGTTGATTAATTACACAATGGGTTGATTACACAATGGGTTGATTACACAATGGGTTGATTACACAATGGGTTGATTACACAATGAATTGATTACACAATGGGTTGATTACACAATGGGTTGATTAATTACACAATGGGTTGGTTACACAATGGGTTGGTTACATAATGGGTTGATTACACAATGGGTTGATTACACAATGGGTTGATTACATAATGGGTTGATTACACAATGGATTGATTACACAATGGGTTGATTACACAATGGGTTGATTACACAATGGGTTGATTACACAATGGGTTGATTACACAATGGGTTGATTACACAATGGGTTGATTACATAATGGGTTGATTACACAATGGGTTGATTAATTACACAATGGGTTGATTAATTACACAATGGGTTGATTACACAATGGGTTGATTACACAATGGGTTGATTACACAATGGGTTGATTACACAATGGGTTTATTACACAATGGGTTGATTAATTACACAATGGGTTGATTAGACAATGGGTTGATTACACAATGGGTTGATTAATTACACAATGGGTTGATTACACAATGGGTTGATTACACAATGGGTTGATTACACAATGGGTTGATTACACAATGGGTTGATTAATTACACAATGGGTTGATTACACAATGGGTTGATTACACAATGGGTTGATTACACAATGGGTTGGTTACACAATGGGTTGATTAATTACACAATGGGTTGATTACACAATGGGTTGATTACACAATGGGTTGATTACACAATGGGTTGATTACACAATGGGTTGATTACACAATGGGTTGATTACACAATGGGTTGATTAATTACACAATGGGTTGATTACACAATGGGTTGATTACATAATGGGTTGGTTACACAATGGGTTGGTTACACAATGGGTTGATTACATAATGGGTTGATTAATTACACAATGGGTTGACTACACAATGGATTGATTAATTACACAATGGGTTTATTACACAATGGGTTGATTACACAATGGGTTGATTACACAATGGGTTGATTAAATACACAACGGGTTGATTACACAATGGGTTTATTACACAACGGGTTGATTACACAATGGGTTGATTACATAATGGGTTGGTTACACAATGGGTTGGTTACACAATGGGTTGATTACACAATGGGTTGATTACACAATGGGTTGATTACACAATGGGTTGATTACACAATGGGTTGATTACACAATGGGTTGATTACACAATGGGTTGATTACACAATGGATTGATTAATTACACAATGGGTTTATTACACAATGGGTTGGTTACACAATTGGTTGATTACACAATGGGTTGATTACACAATGGGTTGATTAATTACACAATGGGTTGATTACACAATGGGTTGATTAATTACATAATGGGTTGATTACACAATGGGTTGATTAATTACACAATGGGTTGATTACACAATGGGTTGATTACACAATGGGTTGATTAATTACACAATGGATTGATCACACAATGGGTTGATTACACAATGGGTTGATTACACAATGGGTTGGTTACACAATGGGTTGACTACATAATGGGTTGGTTACACAATGGGTTGGTTACACAATGGGTTAATTACACAATGGGTTGATTACACAATGGGTTGATTACATAATTAATTGATTACACAATGGGTTGATTAATTACACAATGGGTTGATTACACAATGGGTTGATTACACAATGGGTTGATTACACAATGGGTTGATTACATAATGGGTTGATTACATAATGGGTTGATTACACAATGGGTTGATTACACAATGGGTTGATTACACAATGGGTTGATTACATAATGGGTTGATTACACAATGGGTTGTTTACACAATGGGTTGATTACACAATGAATTGATTACACAATGGGTTGATTACACAATGGGTTGATTAATTACACAATGGGTTGGTTACACAATGGGTTGGTTACATAATGGGTTGATTACACAATGGGTTGATTACACAATGGGTTGATTACATAATGGGTTGATTACACAATGGATTGATTACACAATGGGTTGATTACACAATGGGTTGATTACACAATGGGTTGATTACACAATGGGTTGATTACACAATGGGTTGATTACATAATGGGTTGATTACACAATGGGTTGATTAATTACACAATGGGTTGATTAATTACACAATGGGTTGATTACACAATGGGTTGATTACACAATGGGTTGATTACACAATGGGTTGATTACACAATGGGTTTATTACACAATGGGTTGATTAATTACACAATGGGTTGATTACACAATGGGTTGATTACACAATGGGTTGATTAATTACACAATGGGTTGATTACACAATGGGTTGATTACACAATGGGTTGATTACACAATGGGTTGATTAATTACACAATGGGTTGATTACACAATGGGTTGATTACACAATGGGTTGATTACACAATGGGTTGATTACACAATGGGTTGGTTACACAATGGGTTGATTAATTACACAATGGGTTGAT